CGTGATGGTCGTTACATGGGCCAGTTTTCCAATCATCACCGGACGTCTAAGGGTTCCCCTAGGACCACTACCAAACTGCTTGTGAGTTATTGGTTCCCATCCGCCACAAGACTCCTACAATTAACGAGAAACACAGTGGAAGCCGCACAAATCCTCACCTTTTTCAGTGCTCGTCTGTTCTTGGTGATCTTCACATTTATGTGACCTTTGCTTTTCTCGTTTTGCTCACTTCACTCCAATAATTTGTGTTGTAACAGAACTGACGTAGCTACCGAAATGTTGCTTTCTTTCACCGTTTATCTATTTTCTAAAACAGGTGTTTGTTTGTCAGACGATATCTATCTATTCTTTTTCCAGTACTGTATTGGTTTTAATTTGTTTCCCTCTATGCAATTGAATCAAATCATATTGCGATAGTTTGCGTATCTTTTCGTTAGTACGCCGGTCAGTTTCTACAACCTATTATCCTCCAAGCTGAAATTGAACTCGGTGTGGCGTATGAGTCACTATCCCAAGCCATGTGTTTACATCCGGCGTTGACTGTCCCTACATCCTTGGGGATATGTTTACTTATCGATTGCTCACTCGCCAGTGAATTAGCTTCAGCCACTTGATCGATGCTTTGTACACGTTTTTGTCGGAATACACGTTGCGTGCTGCTACCTCGGTGTGTACTGCCGTCGTTCGTCTACGAGTCATTACGGCGTTCGCAAGGTTGCCTTAATTGTGCAACTTGGCATGATTGCATACGTGTAGACACTAGGGTACCACCAATTTAGATGGACATACTATTGGTTCGCCCGAACAACGGAAGTTAGCTAGTCTAATCTCAATCCCGAACAGCCCCAAACGGTCGTTTCGCCCTGTTGGGCTTGTCAATGTTACGTATTCGTTCGTTTCCTTACAGGGAACGGAACCTGTGACCGACAGCAGTTGCACCAGCTACACAGTCACTTATGACATGGCCATGGGGGAATCGACAACACATCATGAATTGTAAGCTTCTCCTCTTTTAGCGTTCACCCATTTCGGGTAACTGAATCCATACGTCGTGCCGTAAAATATCCATAGATTCTGTGCGCGAGAAGCTGAAGAGGTTTTATGCTGATATTCTGCTGATCAGCAGCCGCGATTTTGATGTTCATTTCCCTTTTGTGAAATGCAATACATAGAAGGGCGAAACACCGTTCGACATGTGGGGATAGGCTCAGACTAATGGGTTTCTCACACTGGTGAACATTTGACTTTGAAGCTTTATTTTCGGAACATGTATACATTTACTGAGCGCAGTAGGAAGACATAAGTCGCGAAAAGTTAACGTTTCCATTCCTCTCACCATCCGCGAAGATGAGTCCAGTAGATGCGGCACAATAGTTTAGGTGTTTGCCATCTGCAGCTAAAGTGTACAGTGGTGAATGATTATAGGATGCGTAACACTGTAGGGCAGTGTATCGCTTCGTTGAATGAAGTGAGACTTTCTATGGAAAAGTACTCCGGTTTTGAAAGTAGTGTTGTCAGCGATTTGGTCACCTTTGCTTATAAACTCACTGGCTGTTGACGAACTGTGGAATCTGAATTGGATTGTACACAACTGACGTTAGACTTTCTTACTCACTGTGGCAGTTTATGCGACTGTGGCATAGGGAACGGTTGCAAACCATCATAACGCACATACGTAGGCACCAGCTGCATCTGACTCGTAAAACTGCTGGACCCTCTGGCTTTGGCTCGCGGCTGGCACCATTACCATGGTCACCATTGCCTCTTGGCCGACTATCTACTATTGTATTTGTGATGCCCTGAGTTCTCCATGGAGTAATGGTGCTCATATATATATATATATATATATCGTGTGTTGAGGCTGGTGGTGGCTAGATCCTGACAGATACTGCTACTGTTGTGCCATGGATTCATGTCCTGGACGTCTCCTCATGGCGACTGCTGGGTAGGAGTTGGGTTACGCCCTTCTCCCTGCTAAGATCCAGCACAGCAATCCGCATGAGTCAGTGAACTGACCGTGTGCTAGACCCGCTGTCTTTCGGGTGTACATTTAATCGAGGGCTTTGGTTGAGGACCGGAGTCGTTCTTCAGTCAGGTGTGGGCGCCCTGCCGGTGTCGTATTCCATCCTCTTTGGAGGTGAGGAAGTGGTCGATGGCCCTCCTTCCATAAAACATACCAGTCGGAGACAGCAGGTCTACGGGCTTCAAGCTCATCGCTCGATTGCCATAGAGCACGTGAACCGCGCATCGTTTCTGGCGGTGGAAGAGTACTTCCGGATACTCAATGGTTTGCTACTACATGCCTCGAGCCAGGAAACGCCAGGTTGAATTGGAGCAAACGCGCCAAAACCCACCTGCGTCTGGCCTTGGTCGCAGGTGCGTATCCTACTATGGTCGCAAAACGCATATGAATCGTTCCAGTACCTCAATGGCTGCATGTGATGGCCGTCAAGTAGATCCCAATCTGTCCCTGCAACCAATTTCCCTAGCTAAGTCTACTCCCATCGCTTTTTGGATCTGGATATTGAGTAAAAAGCTCCGGGCGG